TTTCTTTATCTTCTTTCTCTGTTGCACACACTAGCTCTTTTCTCCCTCTCTCTCTCTCCTTCCTCTTCTCATATGATTCTTCCTAATAGTATAGTAATGTCACTATTGGTTTAAGTGTGATTAATTAATCGTCAAAATAATTTTTGTATTTGTATAGTATGTGCTGCTGTACTAGTGCTAGTAGATCTACATAGTGTAAATTACTTGGTGTACATTACACCAATGTCTTATTAGTTTTTGCAGTAGTGCAGGTAGTATCATGTAGCTGCAGGAGTCCATGATGAGTAGTAACACTACTCCTCTTGGACAGAGTGATGTGATTTACAGCATTCCAGGGTTTCCCCAATTCCAAAAATATTTTAGCCCCACCCATTTAAAAGGAAACTACAGAGATGGCCACTAATCAAACTTGTCTAGGTACATTCTTAGTTCTAAATCCACTCTTTTGATGTTTATCTTTAGATATTGGTGACTTGATTGATGTTCTTGACTTATTGAAGAAATGTGGCTTTCAAAGGACAAAGTGGCAAGAGCTGGGACTGAGACTAGGTCTACTGAAAGATACACTGGAAGCCATTAAAACAGAGCAACATGGTGATGTGAATCAATGCTTGACAGAGTGCCTCTCCCAATGGCTACGTAGAGCTGATAATGTTGACAGTAGAGGAGGAGCCAACTTGGACTCACTGTCAGGTGCTCTAGGATCTATGAATGAAACTGCTGTAGCTGAGAAGTTAAGTGAGTCAACCATAACTGTATGTATAACTATAATCATTGTATTTTCTATCATAGAACATCAGGTTCTTATTAATATTTTTAATAATCGTCATACTGTCCTGTCTCAGTCTCTTTGTAATTCTGTTAGTATTGCTTGGTCTCTTTTTGATGAACGTATGTTAACACAAGAAGCAGTTAGAGCTATCTCGGCTAGTTCCTTTCCTAATCAACGTGAGGCTCTATTAACTGCTGTCAAAGAAGCTGTTCAAACTGATCCCAATAGTTTACATACATTTGCTAATGTATTGTGTACAGTAAGTACTAATGTATCACTGGGACAAACTATACTGGATGATATTAGTGAGTATGATAATAATAATGGTCGTTGCATTATGTTGTGTTGTTAATTAAACTGATCTTTGTGTGTTTAGGTAAGTATTTTCCTACTCCTGAATTGAGTGTGGTTCCTGAAACTAATCAAGATTATGATTTACATTTAGTTCCACCTAGTAATAATAATTTATAATTGATAATACATTCATTAATATCTATAGATAATGCTAGTACTGCTGATGAAACCAAGGCACCAGCTCATATACAATCTGGTATGTCATGAACATAGCAACAAAATCAATTGATACATTTATTCTTTAATTTATAGTCACATCTAGTCCTTCTGATGGAGCAGTTGCTACTAATTCATCTTCACAACCTTTATCACCTAAAGGTAGCACTGATTTGATTATCTGCATTTATTATTAATATTTTGATATAGTTCAAATACCTGTTCCAATGCATTTACTTCAAGATTTTAAATCAATGCAATCTTCTTACACAAGGATGTTTTATAATGTTTGCAAGATTTTAAAAAGAAAACTAGATGTAGATGACATCAAGGAATTCCTGTCTTATTATAGTATTACCTTTCGCAAAAGAGTTGAGCAGTGTTCAGATATTTCTAGCATCCTTCATCATATTAAAGATGAGTGTTCATTGACTGATGTTACACTCCTTCATAGTGTAGTTGAAGAAATGGAGATCACTGAAGCAAAGGAACACATTGAGACATATAGAGCAGAGTTAAAGGACTTCTACAAATCAATCTCAATTAGTCTTTGTCTGGAAAAAAGATTTGGCTCTTTTCCTCATCTGAAGTGTGAAACCGTTACCTTTATCTTTGACTGGAAGCCTGAGGAACATTTGTTGCAGGATATCAAGGGTGTTTTGTCTAAGGTGTCTGGTAAATTGCTGATCATTAAGTTTATAGCAACCTCCACTTCAATATCTGTGACTTGCTCGTTTCCTTTCTCTGAAACGCACAAGAAGAGGAGATTTTCAATGGAGCTGAATCTTGCTTTTGCTCACAAAAAAGACAAGGATCATTTTTGTCTGGCTTGATTAAGGAGTATTTCACTACTACAAGGAGACGATTGTTTGACAACATGGAACTGCTGTCCCACTTGCTCAATCTAGCTTAAAAGGAGAATTCTGAGGTTTAGATACATGATACAAATAGTTCTG